CTTTAGAAAGTGAATTATTTGGGCGGGATAATCACGGAAGAAGGAACCATATAAAGCATTTGATATTCTTCTGTATTGAATGTATGCTTGTCTATAGAGCATTAAATTATTATAGTGAGAACTAGTGACCTGTATACAAGCAAGCTAAGTTTTTAGTCCTAACCACCTACAAAAATACCTTATAAGTTATTCCCATGGTTCATGTAATGCAAATTTATAATATACTTGTACATTGTATTATTAATAATAATAATAATAATAATAATAATAATAATAATAATAATAATAATAATAAAATAAAAAAAAATAAAAAAAATTAAATCAAATACCTCGTATTACCCATTTAGTATTTGAAACTAGTATTCATACTATTCTACAATTGTATGCTTCTCTCAATCACTCATTATCACGATTCACAAAGTATTTGCTTTGAAAGCTCATTAAAGCAAATCCCAAAATGTAAAAAATACAGTCCATGCATATATTTTTTTAACAAAAATATTGATTTGTTTGATTTTTTTTTTTTTTCAGCAATTCAAACCTCTCGGATAGCTCTCAAGCTAGCTACTTCAGTATTAAATTTGGCGGCTAATTATGGATCAACTTCTTCTTTTTTCGTGGCTGAATTTAATTGTACTCTAGGTAAGTGGATGTTGTGTTAGTGTGTATTCCCGCCATTCAACTTATTAACAACTACGAGTGCCAATTTAAAGAAAAGAAAAGAAAGATAGGATAAGTTTGAGTGGTGTCTGTTAATTAATTACCGTTGTCATATAACTGGCTAATGATTGAAGCTCAGAATCGGTTTATATACTCTATCACACCCCCTTACATGAGAGCCCATTGTGCTTGAAATGTAGATGTAGCATGGGTCCCACCATACTCAGCGTTTAGTATTCCACTTTGAAAGGAGGAATGGATGAAATTCGAACTCGTGACCTGTGTCATGCTGATTCTTGATACCATTTTAATGAATCATTTCAATCAAAAACTTAAGCTAATGGTTTGTAATGGTTGAAACCCAGAATCGGTTAATACACTCCATCATCAAATACTTTGTTTCTCCTTAATGCTTAATGAATTTCTTTTGAGAGGCTTAACAAATTATTTATATTTGATGTCATGGTCAAGTTAATTTTAAACAATAAGAAACATAATTAGAGCTAGGTTTTATCTTAAATAAGAGGTAATGAGATAAATTATAACGATATTTGGCACATTTCCTACGTTTTTAATACATACAAAGTATATAAGAATGGTTATTGATTAGGTTCAACTTCAAGTTTCATTTATAATATACTCTCAGATAGTTTGTAAAAAACTAAAAATAGCATTAGGTGTGGCTGGCTTGTGGAACTCAACACAAACTAAAGCACGCATCCACAATAACCCAACACACTAAAATAAGTTAAATTTGAGGAAAATTTTACTTTTGCTACCAGCAAAACACACGTATTTCACTTTTACTACCGGGGAAATTTTAATTTAATTTTACTACCATACAAAAACAAGTTTGTTAAAAATTGCTACCACTTAACGGAATCCGTTAGGGTTCCGTTAAGTTTATTCAAAAAAAAATAAAAAAAAAAATATGAATGTTTTTTTTTTAAAAAAAAAAAACCAGCCACCACCTTCAATTGCCAGCCCCATCCCGTCAGCCACCCTCCCCCTGCCGGCACCGGTGACTCCAATCCCTCTCCCTTTCCTCCACCTACGCAGTCCACCCCCCTCCTTTATCCCCTTCTCGCGTTGCTGCCCTAACCCCCACCCCGAAATCGGAAAACAACCCTCCCTCCCTATCCCCCCACCGGAATAGGCCCCCCTCCCCCCACCCCTTCCCCCACCCAAAACAGCCACCCCTAACCCTTAAATACTAGCTCGACACCACCATAAACGAAACCCTAAATCCTGTTTAGGATGGTTTCGGGCTGGTGGTTTAGGGTTAGAGGTGCCGGTTTTGGGTGCTGGGGAGTGGGGCGACTTGTTCGAATGGAGGAGCAGTAGCAGTAGCAGCGCATTTTGGTGGTGTTGCGAGAGGTTGAAGGTGAGTAATAGTGGTGCGGTGGGAAGAGTTGTCGTGGGTAGTTGAGAGGAGTAAGGGATGGTACGGTGGCTGAAAGGTTGGGTTAGGGTCGTGACAGTGGGGGAAAGCTTGTGCACCGGTGGGAAGATGTACTGAACGCCAGCAGTAAAGGGGGAGGGGTGGCTGATGGGGAGGGGCTAGGCTTTTTCTTTTTCTTTTTTTTTTTTTTTTCTGGTGGCTAGTTTTTTTTTTTTTTTATATAAAAAAAAAAGTAATAAAAATTTTATTTTTTGGTGGCTGACGGGGAGGTAATTAGGGCAGCTGAGGAGAGAGGGGTGGCTAGAAGGTGACAGTGGGGGTGGCTGGATCTCACTAACGAAAATAGTAACTGAAATTGTTAAGTGGTAGTGAAATTTAACTTATGTGATTTTAGGTGGTAGCAAAATAAAATAAATTTTTTGATGGGTAGCAAAAGTGAAATAGGGGTGTTTGAGTGGTAGCAAAAGTGAAAATTTTCTAAATTTGACTTATGAGTTATTTCATCCGTTTCTTTTTCATTGACGTGTTTCTTTAGTCACGTTTGTCAATGCACATATTCAATCATTATTATCTTTGATTACCGATAAGCAAAAATTATGAAAAGTTGATATTTTGAAAATATATATAGTGACGAATCTTATAAGATCTCACATGATTATATTTTTCATTACATATAAAGTATAAAATACGGTTAAAAGGGAGGGTGTGAATAATGCTAAAGCTAAAACGTGTCATTTAAAGCAAAACGGAGATAATATGAGACAACACGGTAACACATGACTACATGAGCTTTGATCGTGCTTGAGCCACCCCTTTGATAATATCATCATTGAACGTCACTACCGAGTGGGATTCGAACCACCAAACCAGTCCTAATCCAACCCAAAGCGGCAAAGCCTAGGGACCCGGCTAAGGCCGGCTTGACCCACATGGACACATCCATCCTTAGTATTTTCTTTCAATAATTTTGTAAAAAACAAATGACATAACTTTGATTGACAAGTAAAATGACAGGTGGCAGACATGAAAGACACAATGGAATGGTAAAATGAAGTGAAGGAGATGGATGATTAGACCTGTCCCTGAAAACATGAGTAGGACTGACCACCACCACACAAATCAGGCCAAAATCCAATCCAGTCAACCCAAACATCTTACCAACAGACCTTCCAGATATGTACCACTTCTCCTTACTTACGTGGATCCATCTATGTTACTACTACTACTACTTGCACCTTCATTTTCTTCTTCTTACTGTTATACACATTACACACTACTACTCCGTAATAAATAATAATACCGCACTTTTTCTATTCCACCAACCTCTTCTTCATACTTCCTCGTTGTTTCTCAAATCAAAGTTTGATAATTTAGTATGAATAATTAATACTATTTCGTTTTTTAATACAAAGCCTCATTTTCTATTTGGGTAAATCAAAATATATATTATGCCTATTTTTATTTAAAGGTTGTATTTTTTAACATTATTACTCTCTTTTTGATGAGTTGTCATTTTTTTTCCTTTATTTTTTTGTACTTTTAACGTCAATTTCCAACACTTTTTCTCTCTATCTCTTCAATTATTCTCAACTACTTTTTCTTTCTCTCTATCTCACTCTAACTCCACATACATATATGTACTTTTAATCATTAGTTTTAAAAAATTTAATTAATCCACTTGCAAAAACCAAAAAAAGCTTTGTATTAGGGGACGGAGGGAATACTGTTCTTGTAATCTAATCCTAATAAGAATTCCAATAGTGCATTGTAATTCAAACAACACATCATACTATATTTGACGTTGTTTATATTTTTACAAATTGAAGATTTCGGCTTTTTTCCTAGAATTTCGAAATATATAATCAAGTTGCAATTTTGAGTATCAATATGCTTTATAATATTTTTATGTGTGGTATTTCTGGATGCATGTTCGCAGACAAATGACGGAATTTTCAAACCATTAAAATCAAATAAGGAAGATGTGATTTCATTTAATGTGTTCTGTTTACAATAGAGGAGTTAATAAGACTCATTTGAATAAGTTAGCAAACATTTTATATAGCTTGTTTATTTATTTAACCTTTGTAAACAAACAAATACTCCGAATTCTTATTGAGAATTTTCAATATAAAAATGATTAGTATAACTATGTAGTACTCCGTAAGAATAAGATAAATTTTAAGATTATCATACAATTATACAAGTCATCTAATCATGGATTTCAAACCGAAAATGTCCATAGTGCAGTCGACCACACTTTGCACCTGGTACAACAATACCCTTTATTTACGTGGAGGTCGGAGACTAAGTGGAGCTCTACAAATGAGCACATGCTGCACATCGCAACCAATTTTACAATAAATTTCCCATTTAAACCAAAAATAAAATAAAATAATAAATAAACTCAAACTAATATGGTACCTAACACGCTCTAAGATATATTATCATTTTTTTTTTACTCAAATCAAATTTACGATATTATTTTTTATTCTATTCATTCAATACTACTTTGATTCTTTACCTATTTAAAAAGATTAAGACATATAATTTTTTTTTTTGGACACAAAGATTAAAAAACAAAACTTTTAAGATCAAAAGAATCTTAACCACAGAATAACTTAAACCGGCTCGATATTTTTAAATCCAAAAAAAATCTACCAACAGCAACAGTAGTAGAGTAGTAGTGATAAAACGATGAATTAATTAATTAATAACCGAAAGTAAAGGCACCCACCCGGAGTTGAGTATATATATTCACCTCCTTCCCTCTTTTTCTCTCTCCCCAAATACTCCTCTTTATTTTTCACTTCAAATCAATTTTTTGTTCTCAATTCTTCTCAATAATTCGCCATTTTTATTGAAATTTCAAGCTTTAATTCTTGTTGTTCGTCAAATTTTCTCTCTCATGACCGGTCAAATCGTGATCAAAACATCAACAATGGCGTCAACTCGGCGTCAACCGCTTCTCACCGAAAACCTAACTTCTCCGAAAAAATCGTCGTCAAATGTCGGAGAAGTTGCCGGAGTTACGACGGCGAATTGCGTCGCTGTTTGCTGTTGTTGTCCATGTATTCTGGTGGAATTTATAATCATGGTCGTGTATAAAGTTCCGGTGAATCTCTGCCGTCGGATGCTGCGACGGCGGCGAAAGATGATGAAAAGGAAGAAGATGAAGAAAGGGCTTCTAGAAGAAGCGAAAGAGGTAGGATCTGGTGTAAGTGAGGTGTACTATAAGACTGGATTTGTTGATGAGTTTTCAGATGTTTATAAGAAGGAATTTGAGATGATCAAAGTTTCAGTTGATGGATCAACGGTGGAATTGGAACGAAAGATGTGGGAACAGTTTCATGATACTGGTTTCTGGAGAAGTTCTTCTCAGAGATTTTCTTGATTTTTTTTTTTTTTTTTTTTTGGGGGGGGGGGGAAATTGGGTTGGGAATCTTCAGTCTTAGGGTGATATAATGTGCGGTTGTACTCACCGGAAGATTGGTGTGGAAGTGCTCTTGAATGTTGGGCCGCCACAATGGTGTGGTAATTGGGGGATATAAAAGTGTATATACAAAATGTTGTAAATAATTTTATTTTTTAGTATACTTGATTGATGAATTACTATGAATCAATGATCATTACTTGATTTTTGAGCATTTTATTTTATTTTGTAGGTTCTAATAAAGCATTATGCAATTATTGTAATGGGATATTGTCAAGTGTTTAGCTACACTAATTGAAACTAAGATTTGGTTGAGATCCCATTCTGTTCTATTAGGTGTGTTATTTTCACCTAGTTACTACTTATTTGTACAACTACAAGACGATCCCAAAGTTCTTTCACTCTATTCAAATATTAAAGAAACACTATTACTCTCTCTGTTTTTAAATACTTGCTTCACTTTTCATTTCTGATCGTTTTCCATTTCTTTATTTGGAAAGCTTTTACAATATTTAATTCATTTATCTCAACTAGTGAACCCTACCTAAATCATACTCGTATTTTATTTATTTCATATTCTCTTTCCTTCTATTCTCTCAATTAATTTTGCTATTTTATAATTTTTTATTTTTTTGATGTTCCATCGGTTCACCATTTGGGCTAATCCGGATTCGGGCATCAGTTTTGGGTGGTAAGATTCCAGTTCCTTCCCAATTGTTGTTGCGCGCTTTTTATATATATTTTTTATTCTTTCACCTACCCCACTACCTCCATATGAGAGAGTATGATATGTTTAGGTGTATTCTTGTATGTTGAATTTGAAGGGCTTTAAACTTATATTTCGATTATCTAAACTTACTAATCTAATTTGAACTCAACAAATAAAAATATACTTTCTCCGTTTTTTTTATTGCACCATGAGTGATTTCACGTTTGCCAATGCAATACTTTGTCTATTGATATCTTTAATTACACTTTTGTAAAAGTTATAAAAATTTAATATTTGAAATGTAGATTTCAAGACGAATCTAACTAGACCTCACATGACTATATTTTTCCTTATGGATAAATCACAAATGATGGTCAAAGAACATTATGTAAATAGTGTAAAAGTCTTTATGGTGCAATAAAAGAAAAACGTAGGAAGTAGTACTTTCATTACTTTTTAGTTGCAACAAAGGAATTTTTTACATATCACAAAAAATACCCCTTTGTTACAATTTAAAAAAAAAAACGGAGGTAGTATAAATAGTGGATACTCCCTCTGTGCCAATTGTTTTGCCCCATTGCAAATAATGGGGTCAAACTTTAAAACTTTGGCCGTAAATTTTCATTAATCTATAAGAGATAATGTTTCGGGGTTTTCTGATGTCCTGCGGGAGAGTTACAATTCCGAGACTGGAACCGGACGCCTGTACCTGCAAAACAACGGAGACTCCTTGTGGTGGGAGCTCCGCCTCCAACGGACAAGTTAGTACTTGTTTGAGGAGTGAATAGTGCGGAAAAGTAAAGGTTGGAAGATCTGGTTCCTCTAGGTGAGGAGTGATCAATGTGTTTAGACTTCTCTAGGTGAGAGTCATCAATTGCTGAATTCCCTTTAATGAGGATTAATTAAGTATTTATAGTCTTGAGAGACGTGTCAATCCTAGGTTTAGGTTAACCAGGGCAAATTGGGCTTCTCTCGGACTTTGGGCCTTGGTGGCCATTTTTGCCTATTTGGCATATGGGAGGCCACGTGGCGTGGCCTGATTAGTCCATGTTGGACCTCTTAGGGTGACAAGTGGCGGACGCTGATTGGCCCACGTGGTGGACACGTGGCAGGTCCGGATTGGTCCATTTGTCATGGGTAATTTTACCCTAAACATTTGCCCCTCGGAAGGAGTTATTTCTCTTTCCAGGAGGGATTGCTCCTTTCGAAAGTTAGACCCTCGAAGCTTTGCTAGGTCGGCATCTTGTCTAGTTCTAATGGGAGATGGACTTGATTAACTTAGAAAATTTTGATACCTTGGGCGGTATGACACTTTCAAAGTTAATCAATCATAATAATGAGTGCCGCCGAACTAGACAGATGCTGATTCTTTGCCCTACTATGCAGATAGCCCCTGATCAGGTGGACTGTCAACTATTGCACAAGGGGTAAGCGTTTAGCATTATTCGGCCGTTGGCCTCTTTTGATTCAATATACTAAGTTCGGTACTTAGTTTATTTCGTTGGGGGATGGCTGGTCGTCTGCTTTGGTGGCTGCATAGAAGCAGGCGTCAGACAGGACGTCCAACCAAAGTAGCTACGTCTGTTGGGTTACAGACGACAACTTTAAGTATAGCCAACCTAGTAAGAATAGTGGTCGAGTACCTCTGTTTACCAAAAAACAGGCGGACTCCTCATACCTTTTAGGTTCCGTACTAAGGAGGGCGACTGGTTAACCTTGCGGTTAGTCAATCACTGCCTATTTTGTTTGAGTGGTAGGGAAACCAGGCGGCGGGGGCCGGATAGTCCCCTTGATTCGCCAAGTTTTTCTTGGCTATTAACTCAAAGGTTGTTAACCTAGCAGGAGTAGTGGTTGAGAGCCCCTGTTTGCTAAAAACAGGCGGGCGACTCATACTTTTTAGGCTCCATACTAAGTTTGAGGGAGTGACTATAAGTTAACATAGGAGTTACTTAGTCTCCGTCACACTCTAGCTTGAGTAGTAGAGGTACCAGGCGGCGGAGGCCGGCTGATCCCCTTGATTCGCCAATGTTTGTTGGCTATTAACCCAAGGAGTGGTTACCTAGTAGGAATAGGGGTTTGAGTGCCCCTGTTTTCCAAAAAACAGGCGGTCTACTCAAACCTTTTAGGTTCCATACCAAGTTTGAGGGAGTGACTATGAGTTAACGTTGGTGTTACTCAGTCGCCGTCACTCTTGCTTGAGAAGTAGAGGTACCAGGCGGCGAAGGCCGGCTAGACCCCTTGATTCGCCAATGTTTGTTGGCTATTAACTCAAGAGGTACCCTCTGCATTTATCCCAAGTAATACAGGTGGTCATCTGACTCAGATGTCAACTGCTACCACTGGTTTGGTTAGTGATAGAGTTATCCTTGTCTCAAAAACGGCTACGTGGTTGCCCTTGGGGACAGTCGTATAGGTGCCGTGTAATTAGTTTATAGAGCAATGTTCCACCCAAAAGGGAGCTGCTCTCTGCGACGAATTTCATCCGGAGGGATGCCGCCGGACGCCTGCTATGATGTTGGGACAGGTCGTATTAGTTTTGAAGATTGGATCAGTTGGCTTGGCGCCTGGTCTGATCATTCGGCCTGTGGCCTTGGTTAGTCCTTTGGTGGACGCAGATGCTAAGTAAGAGGAGGGCAGCTGCCTATTTAGGCACAGGGTCGGCCAGGCCACCATCATTTTTTAGCTAAGTATAGGAGGGTGGTCGTCTGTCTTGGAATCGACTGTATGTCCAGACGGCATGCCCCTATGGTGATAGAGTAAAATATTCAATGGAGAGTAGCCGACTGTAAAGGTACAGGCGGCATGCCCCTCTGAAGATAGAGTAAAATACTCAGTGGAGAGTAGCCGACTGTAAAGGTACAAACGGCATGCCCCTCTGAAGATAGAGTAAAATACTCAATGGAGAGTAGCCGACTGTAAAGGTACAGACGACATGCCCCTCTGATGATAAAGTTAAATACTCAATGGAGAGTAGGCGACTGTAAATGTATAGGCGGCCTGCCCCTCTGAATCAGTATCAAGTATTGAAATAATTTCAAGTGTTAGAGCAGATGGATCACCTAGTTCCCTTCCATAAAGGATGGATGGTGTTATTAATGAGAGTCGGCTGCTTTCATAGCTACGAGACTTCATTGTATAGGGGGCCGGCTACTATTCATGTCGCCTCTCTTACTGTCACACAAATAAGTGGAGGTAATCCCTGAAGGGAGACGGTCTTCAATTGGTTACTGACTATGCTGCCGGGTTTAATAACCTAAGGCAATTTTTTTTTTTTTTTTTTTTCCCGAGGGAAAATCATAATAATGATAAGGACCAATGTAGTGTTATTTATCAATGCCAAACATTGAAGTGCCGGCCACTAAAGTTCAAGCGTCTACGAGGTGGTACTTGATTTCATTGAGTCATCCGACCACTAAATGTCGACTGTTCTTGTGACCATAGAACTCTTGTTGCCATAAGAATTCCTAAAATTTATCATGCTTGGTTATAGGCCGGTTGTTACCATGATGTGCCGGTTGGAGTCTGAGCTGCCGCCTGCTAGCCTATTCGTGAGGACCAATGAAGGTGCCATCGAAGTGCCGGCTACCCAAGCTGAAGCGTCCACGAGAAGTTGCTAGATTTTATTGCGCATCCGTTCACTAAAATAAGAGCAATAAAGGTTCTGACTTAGCAAGAAATTGTCGGTTGTTCTCATGATGATTTGCTTGATGATCTCGGCCATCCATGCTTATTATGGCTTGTCTAACAAAATACGAAGGTTGCTCTGTTTTTCTCATATCCAACCAATAAGGGCTGCCCACTTTAGTTAACCACTGACTTTTAAGTGAGCATGTGCCACTTGCTTTGTAACATTGCTAGCTCCATTGCCGGTTAGTGGCTTTCTTGCTTTCCTTGCTTAGCCAAGTTCGAAGGTTAACCACCTTACCGCCTGTTTACATGTGAACAAAGGTGTCGTTTAATCATGGCTTTGTTCATTGCATCACAATACAATAAGCCATAATGTAAATGCCGGCTGAAGCTAGGTGACTAGCGCATGATGCCGGTTGCATGCTATTTACGTGCTTGGCATTATTTAGACAAAAATGATCATAAGACTCGGCCCCTATTTAAAAAGTATGAAGACCCACTTTTGCTCATGCCCTTTCAACCAAGTGCCGGTTGTTTAAGGTGAGTCTAGCTGGGACTGGGCTTGAGTCTTGAAGAGCACTTGTGGCCGCCTGTTTTCATTAACAAGGGTGGCCGACTATTTGATTTTATTGAGCGTCTGAGCACTGAATGCCGGCTGAAATAAGAGCAATGAGGATTCCCTAACTTAGCAAGTTGAGTTATATACTCTTGGGCTCATAAATTTGGCTTGGATGATCACTTCATGCGGCTCTTCAAACACATGGATACACACTTGGTTGGACGAATGGATAGCTTAGCATCTACTTGGCATGTACTCGTACCCAGCATCAACGTCAAATCTCAACATGATATTTGAACTTAGCACGATAATTGTGTTTCATGTGCCGCATGTTTTACTATGGCTAGCTTCTTTGGTTGCAAGTGCCCCCTGCTAGCTTGAGCTACGACACCTAGATGCCGCCTGCTCTCGAATGCTTCGACCATCTGAACTCAGCCAAGCCGGATGTGTTTTAGAGCCGTCTCCTTGCTGTGTTGCTAGGACTAGGCCGGCTGTCTATAGACATACAAGGGACTTTCTGTTGCGTGCATACACATGGTGGTTGTTTCTTTACAAACAATAGCAATGTGTCGTTTGATTCTTGATGTTTACCCATGATACTATGAAATTTCAAAAGGCACTCATTTTGAGCTTACATGGTGCTTTGGTAAGGATGCCGAGCTGCTCTTCTCAATGGAGCTATCTTTCAAAATTTTATTCGGCCACATGATGCCGTAGATCAGCTTGCTGCTTGTTTTAATTATGTTTTGATCGTGTTGGGCATTATTTAGACCAAAGTGATTCAAGACTCGGCCCTCATTACAAAACATGAAGAACCATATCACCTCACGCATTGCTTGATGCGTTCGCTGTGGATGCCGCCTGCTTTCATGAAAGACAAGTGGTTTGTTGGATTTACTTGATGGCTAAACAGCCGGTTTCAATGCTTCCCCTACATAAATACAGCTGCCTAGCTGCCTATTTTTTACATACACACGAACTCATTCGTCTCAGCCTTTTGAGTTGCTTGTTCTTGAAGTGATCAATCCGGCTGTTTGGTGGCTCGGATTGGGCTGGCTGTTTAGGTGTCGCCTACATTAGCATGGCTAGCTGATTTGTCATGCTTCGTGGCTAGGACTAGGCCGGCTGTCATCTGGCCGCCTGCTTCCTTGGGCGAGACGCCAATGCCCAGCTTTCACAATAAGAGACTAGCACATGAACAAGTTAAAGCATTCACTCTCATGGTCAATTATATTACTACGAGCCAAGCGCTACTCCTCTCGGCAGGCCGAGAGATTTTTATATGTGCGAGTATTTTGGCTGTTTGCTTTTGGAAGAACAAGCTAGAACCAAACTCATTTGTATCAAGTATACTTGGCATTATATTTTGAGCAAAAACCTTGTGACTGTACCTTGATAAAACATCATATAGAGCCGGCTGTTTATGCGAGAATGAGGGCTGCTCTTATGGTTGCCGCCTAAAATCTCAAAGGCTCGACGTTGGCATGCCACTACTGCACTCACAGTCGGGCCTTTATCGAAGGAAAAACAGCAGGCTTCCTAGACATGTAGAACAACCGACCGAGGAAGCTGTTCGTGACAAGCATCATGGGAGCCGGCTATGTATATAGCGATGTGGGCTGGTAGTTATGACACTACTTAGGCTACTTGATAATATCAAATGCTAAGATTAACTTTGTAGTAGGTTGCCACCTAAGGCTCTTAGGTGGAGCTTTGCCATACAAAATCAGTAAGTTAGGCGCATGTGGCCGTATGATAATGATTTGATAATAATGAATTTTTTTTTTATTTTAAAATCAATATCATAATAATGATTTGATAATAAAATTAATAATAGCTTACAAGCCTATCCATACGACTCTTGGCATCCGACCGTACGACACTTGTAGTACTTGGCTGTCGGGCCGAATGTTGGGAGGCTGATATTTTGCCGGATGTACCCATTGAGTGTCGTGCTAGGCGTATGTAACTTCAACTGGGAGTGGTTTGATTTGGCCGACTGTTCCTTTGCAGGAACAAGCGCCCTTTGGTTGATCAAGTCTTGGATCTCCCCCTTGAAACTACTCATGAGGGTCATGAGTTCATTCCTGGTGATAGGGGCAGATCCCTCGGCCGCCTGTTGATGATTAGGCGGCGGGCCGACTGGTTTACTAGATTCAGCCAGGCAGTCTCCCCGTTCCTTCCTTTCGATGGGACGGGTGCGTCGAGCTCTGAGGGACCCGTCAGGGGCCGTGTGAGTCTCGACTTCATATTCTTCGTCGGTACCCTGGTCTGACTGGACCAGGGGGTCGTCCATGGGACGCTTCTCACTTAGAATCGGTACAGACTGTGATACCATCTCGAAAGTACTCTCCCCACAGACGGCGCCAAAATGTTTCGGGGTTTTCTGATGTCCTGCGGGAGAGTTACAATTCCGAGACTGGAACCGGACGCCTGTACCTGCAAAACAACGGAGACTCCTTGTGGTGGGAGCTCCGCCTCCAACGGTCAAGTTAGTACTTGTTTGAGGAGTGAATAGTGCGGAAAAGTAAAGGTTGGAAGATCTGGTTCCTCTAGGTGAGGAGTGTTCAATGTGTTTAGACTTCTCTAGGTGAGAGTCATCAATTGCTGAATTCCCTCTAATGAGGATTAATTAAGTATTTATAGTCTTGAGAAGCGTGCCAATCATAGGTTTAGGTTAACCAGGGAAAATTGGGCTTCTCTCGGACTTTGGGCCTTGGTGGCCATTTTTGCCTATTTGGCATATGGGAGGCCACGTGGCATGGCCTGATTAGTCCATGTTGGACCTCTTAGGGTGACAAGTGGCGGACGCTGATTGGCCCACGTGGTGGACACGTGGCAGGTCCGGATTGGTCCATTTGTCATGGGTAATTTTACCCTAAACAGATAATATAGTCAAGTCGAGTCTTGTTGGATTCGTCTCATTCCATATTTTATTAATATTAAATTGTTACAATACATATATATATATATATATATATATATATATATATTTATATATATATATATATATATATATATATATATTTTAAGATGCATCTCAAAGATCGTGAAAAATCAAATGGAGAAAAAAAAAAAAAGAGTATAAGCTAAACTAAATGTATTATCCTGAGGGGTCGTTTGGTTAACATAGGAAGTGAAAATTCCCAAATTCATGGGAAATTTTAAAAGTTGTTTGGTTGGTAATGGGGGACTAGGTAAGTAAATTCCTAGGAAGTTCTACTTCCCTCATTTCACCAAATTTTATTCAACCAAACAACTTACTCATTTTGCAATTCCTAAAAACTCCCAATTCCCAAATTTTTTATGTAAACCAAACAACACCTAAGTCTTTATAATTATGAATAAATGTTAGATGAATAGAGCATTACTTAAATAAATAAGTTTGATGCATAAGTTTATATGTCTTGTACTTGATATTAGGTGATACATCATGCCTTTATAATAAGTACCACATACCATAATATTGGCTCACTTTAATTAAAGAATCATGGTAATTAAAACCTCACAACAAGAGTCAAACCTAGCAACATAAGTTATTTAATTGCACGGTTACAAACTTACACCAAAATCCTATTCCTTTTTAAAGCAACCCATTGACACTTTTCATCCATGTTAAAATATATGTTTGACCCTTATAAAATGCTCATATTACAAAATATTACTGGCAAAATTTTATTTAAATATACATTATGATTAGTCTAACAATATATTCTTTTAATTTGTTACTTAATATATTTACTTGGTAAAAGATAATACTCCCTTTATCCCTAAATATAGTTCTTGTTTGATTTTTCACGGTATTCAAGACGTGTCTTAATTTATTTGTATCTCTATTTTCATACGCGTAAAAATTATAAAAACTTAATATTAATAAAATATACAATGTGACGAATCAGACATGTTTTCACACGAACATATAGTCTCTTATAAATTAAGAAGAATTTATGGTTAAATTTTTAAAATTTGACCAAAATAAATGAAATGGAAACTATATTTTAGTAATGGAGGGACTCAAGGGAGTAATTAAAAATTAAAAAAAAGTGTCCAAAGTCATGCGTCACTTAAAACAAAAAAGAGATTTAAAGCAAAAAAACAAATAAAAACGGAGAGTAAAATAATTCTCCCTTCTCCGGTAGTTACAGCTGGCATAGACACGTCGTTATCCACTCTCTTATATCCCAAAAAAATCAACCCAAACCATCAACAACGGGCATAAACCGTTTATTTGCCACACGTCACCCTAATACTTGCCCAAAAAACTAATTCACTTTAACACTGATCAAATACAATTAAAATTCAATTTCATTTTTCATTACTCCACTAATTAAAATTCCATTAATCAAAGTAACTTCTTTTCACCCAAAATCACAGAAAACCCAAAAACACAAAATTCAATATAATCACGTTCACGCCAGATATTTGCCGTCTTTTCTTTTCTTCTCTTCTCTTTTCCACCTTCTCTCTCCTCTCTTTTTCCACCATTTTTCTTCTTCTTAAGAATGACGGGTCGAATTGTTATTCGATCATCACAAATAATGCCTCAAAATCGTCAATTATCTCCTCCCGCCGGGACCCTAACTCCGGCAGAACTACCGGCGAGAACCCGTAAAAAGTCGTTATCAAACGTCGGAGAAGTCGCCGGAGGAACAGCGGCGAATTGCGTTGTCGTATCATGTTGTTGCCCTTGCGTTTTAATGGAGTGTTTAATCTTGGCCTTTTATAAAGTACCGGCGTCTATCTGCCGTCGGATGTGGCGGAAGAAACGACAAAAATTGTTGATGAAGAAGAAGAAGAAAAGGGTGTTGGTTGAAGCGAAAGAGGGGGGTTCTAGTGTAGGTGAGGCGCACAATAAGAATTATGTAGATGAAGTGTCGGATTTTGATTGGAAGGATTTTGAGATGATTAAAGTTTCGACGGATGGATCAGCGGTTGAGTTGGATAAGCAGATGTGGGACCGCTTTAATAATACTGGTTTTTGGAGAAGCCCTTCTCAAAGATATGATGATGATCAAGTTGTTTGTCAAGTTTGTGACCATGATCAATGATACTTTTGCTTCGGATTTGTTAAATTGAATTGAATTGAACTGGATTGAATTTTGGGTTGCACGAGTGCATGGAAAGATTTGACTCGCACACGAATGACACCATGGACCATGGTACGGGTACGACATTGGATTATTCATTCGTGTTGAAATGTATCGGATTCAGGACAAGTCGTATTGTATGAATGTACGAGTGGTCGAACGACAATGGTATTGTACTCCGTAATTGGATTGGATTTTTAAAAGCAAGTTATTGTGTTGGATTTGTTGATGGTTTGATCAGGTGTGTGCTTGCCAAATTTTGATACCGTAAGGTTAGGCAGAAGCATCACAATTGGTGGATTGCTAAATGGTAATTTGGTATATAGAATAAGGCATTTACATGAGAATGGGATGAATATACATTCGAATTATGCTTTTATGTGCAAGTATTTGAATAGAACTATAATGTGAAGGTTTTTTTTTTTCTTTTCCATAAGTTTAATGGTATACTCTAATATCAAAATTTTGTTGTTTCGATTATTAGCGTTTGAGTTTTGTTTATCGTATATCCTTTCGAAAAGGATATACTTAAACAAACTTCGTATCATCGCATGTATGTAAAGGGCAAAATAAAGCTAATTTTAAAGTTTGTTTTTTCATATACATGGTGGTGAAATTTATCTCTAAGTCATCGTATCTATAGAGAGTAGTTTTATGAAATTAATTTATGATTCATAATCTTATTGTGTTTTACTTTGCAAAATTTCCCCCGTACAAAGTGGAGTATTTTGTTATGAAAATCCTTTTTTTTCAATAAATATCTCGTAATTGAGCTTTTAATTATGGAGAATGTTTTATGGTTACTCTTGTTGATAAGGCCACAACAACTTGCAATTTTTCATGCTAAATGGCTGGAATTTTAGTTCACTTCACTAACTAGAATGTATTCTGCTGCCAAAAAAAAAAAAAAAAAAAAAAACACTAGAATGTATTCCGTACTACTATCATATCTTTCATCATGGTTGGATATAATAATCATTTAATATCCTATAAAAACATCAAAGCATCATTAGACAATAAAACAATTACTCCATTTCGATAGTTCTTCAACATTGACTTTTGTAATAATTTGTGTTACCTTTGCGTTGTGTTGACCACATGTTCTTACTATAAAAACGCATGTTATCATGGAGACGATGAATTTGTCTTGATTGGATCTGTTTTAATGTATATTTTCCAAATATTAATGACATATTGTTAATAGGACATATTTAAACAAGTTAGCTACAAAGTATTAAAGTTATATGTCGACAAACATAAAAGTCAAATGACATAGACAATCATATATTCCATTATTCATATGAATCATATCCCTTGAGTTTAATTGGGCCGAGCAAAGTGAGTTTAATATGTTACTCCGTACATCGCAGTTGCAATTGCATACTATTAACCCGAATAGAGAGTGGTTGGACATCTGTAGCCTTGATCCTTATTGGGTCTAGCATAGGGAATCAATGCCAATAGTTTAGCAATGTTCTAGATTCTTAGAATTTTGGCCATACTTCACCAACTATCATAAATTCATGATAAACCTTGAACGACTAGAGCAACTCCTAGAATGTACGGAGTAGATTTGTAGTATTTTTATTTCTTTTAAAAATTTATACAGTAGATGTGACTGTTTACTACTCTTTGAGTCTTTGGTAAATTTATTCCATCAAGATAGGTATTCAATGCTTATCCCCTAGATTCTTTGTGATTACGGGAAATAGTATTGATCTCAAAATACATTTGAAAGGTTAGGTTTTTTTTTTTTTTTTTTTTTTTTTTTTTTTTGTGAAATTTAGAAAGCTATGAACATAAGTGATTCGAACCTTTCGGTCATTTCTTAAATAAATCCTATGTGGTATATATGATGATCGGATTCTTGTACTCCATAATATTTTCAATGGATCCAACTCATCCAAGAGTTACACGTGCATACTCGGAGAGTCGGGACTATTATAAAGAATAGCTTAATCGGGTAGATTCTAATCCATGAGTTTATGGGCCCAGAAATCCCATAATGTATGGGCCCAACTATATCAAAGCTTAAATTTGGACCTCAGTGCCTCTATCTGCTTGTCCATCTACTTTCCCATCAAACAAATTGTCCAACCGCTTTATATATCGTATTACACTCCGTTATGCTTTAAAAAATTGTTTCATTTTACATACAAATATATCAAAATTTTATCCTGCAGTATGTTGTTACGAGTATATTTTTTTCAATGTATTTACACCATATAATTCACATGTCTAATTGAATACATTTATACGGAGTTAATAAAAGACTATTGAAATTCTTGAAAATAAAGTGTAAATTACTTTTGAGAATAGGACTAATAGTAGTTACTCCTTGTAGTGGAGTACTAACCTCTCCAATCATCATGCCACTGTGAGGCTTAAAGCTGTTCAAGATATCATGTTGATGCAATATCACATCACATCCAACATAACCTAATTAAGCCAAACTTAATAGTGCAAGTGTGTGACAATTACAAATGATGATGGCGTCTTACATTTGTGGTCAACTAAGCAAAACATGTGAGGTCTTTTCTTAGAATGCCTGTGAATTGCTACTAGATCTTAATCATTTAGAGATTTTATGTATATAGACTATATCTGCATACGACGGTAATATCATTCATTTAATTTGTACATAAACTAAATTATATGAAACGTTACATACAATAAATATTATAATTTTGAAAGTTAACTAGTTATTATGAAATTTTTGTTACAAAAAGTACATCCTGATTCCATGAAAAAATTAGCCAAATTAAGAACTTCCTTGGAACAAATTCGCCATACTCGAATTCAAAGACCTGTCCTCCTTCGGTTGTGCCGTGGTTTGGAACTCACTGATTTAGAAGCGAAATACACCACCACCGATACAGGTATCCTAGTGACACACGCCCCCCAAGTTTTACACACCGACCTCCATAATTTGTATACCCGAACTCGAAGGTTGAAATTGCTCAAGAACTATCGCAAGGCAATGTAAGCAGCACGCGACCTATCGCTTGCACCTGCTACACGCCATGCAAGCATCCGAGCTATCGCTCCCTTGCACGTGAGCTATAGCCCGGCCTTGCCGCAGCTCAATTGCCTTGCGAGCTCTAGCTCTCTTGCTAGCTCGCCCTTGCGCTACCCATTTGCCTTGCGAGCTACTCTCTCGCTAGCTCCTTGCACACAACGTCACTAAAGAGTAACAACACTCACTTAGCAACACTCCGATTTGCATTACAAGTATTTCAATTCCCAACAATTCACATAAACCCTTAGCGATGCTTATGTGCATAATGACCAAAAAGATTATAGATAGGATGAGATAACAATGATTTTTTATGAATCTGTGATGATATACTTTATGTAAGATAATAAAGATAAGAAGGTGGAATGGGAGCAAATAGTGAATAAGTTAATGATCCATAATTTCATATAGTTTTCCTTATTACTACGTACTGGATTTGTTAAGAGTTAGTTAAAAAAATTGTAATAAGTGACAAAGTTACCAAATTATTCTTATTCAATCTCTCTTCATCTCCTTTTTTTTTTTTTTTTTGCTAAGACTAAAATTATCTTACCTTCTTATTTGAAGATGTAATACCCCATATATTTATACGTATTTTAAATTAAATCATTATTTTATAAAGTATTTAAATAATTCGAAATAAATTATTTATAGTATTTTATTAATTTAAAAAGGTTTATTTTAATTAAAGGTCCATTTTTATTTATTTAATTGTTTTAGAAAATTTTATTATTTAGAAACTTTGGGGCATACTATATTATAAAAGAAATCTTTAAGGTCAATGAAATTTAAAGAAAGTCAAAGACTAGTTTGAATAGGAGAAAGAATCATTAAGGGTAAAAAAGGAATTTAAGCTGGGAGGGTTTTGAGAGAGGGTATAAATACCCATCATATGAGCAAATTAAACTTTGCCCAAGGTGGAGAATACCCAAAGGTAAAATATCTCTCTCTCTCCCCTCTTATTTTCTCTCCCCTTAATTTTCCCCCTCCCCTTTTGTTTTTCGCCTCACACGCACACACACATGGTGGCCGGTCACCACCAGCCCTTCCCACTGGCCGACCACCGCTACCAGCAGCAGCCGCCAGTGTAGAGGGCGGCGGCAACCCCTTCTCGTACGTGAGGTTGTGTTTCTTTTTTTTTTTTTTAAAAAAAAAAAAAAAAAAAAAAAAACTCTCTCTCTCTTGTTTTAAATCAACCCAACCTTGTTTAATTATTAATTTTTGATGTGTGTGATGATTTCATGATGTTCTAATTATGATTATTATGTAATTAATTTTCAGATTTAGTTTTTGAATCAAAAAACCCCAAATTGAAAACCCTAGGTTTCTAAATTAATGAATATTGATGGAAATTGATTGTAGTTGATTGAAATATTGAAATGGGTATTTTTAAACATAATTGCAGCAGTTTTATAAGTTTTTATGAAGCTGAAATTTTTATATAAAGGTTAGAATTATGTTTCTTAAAAGGATTTTTAATTACCTATTAATTGGGAATAAAAGTAGGTGGTTTAAATTAATTTTCAGTATTTTTTAAAGGGTTTATAAGTGATTTAAATAGTGTATATATTGTTGGAAATTTATTATGAATAGGTATTAATGTCTCTTTGAAATTTTGGGTTGTAGGAGATTTATAAGTGAATGATTTCATGTAATCATGATGATTTTGAGATCATATTCGAGATACGTTCGCGTACTCGGTAATTATTTAAGTGTATACACTGGTGGAAAAAACGCTATTAGCAACTGACAAAAATTGACTTTTAGCAACTGGCATGTAGGGCTGCTATTGTGGGGGATACAATTGTGAATATCATTAGCAATGGGCACTTGTCAGTTGCTAATACTACTTATTCGCAACTGGCGTAGTACTAGGCCAGTTGCGAATAGTCATTACTTTAAATTTAAAAAAAAAAAAAAAAATACAGTTTTGCCAAATTGATATACAAACTATATTATATACTAAAACTTATGTTTATTATGAAGTATTCCTCAAGAAAATGTTAATTATGAAGTATACATTCATTACAAATTAAAAAATATACAAAAACAAAAATTAAAAAAAAAAAAAAAATGACTGGTTGAAACATCTAGATGGATGCTGTGATCACACGGCTGCTGTCATTTGTAAATATCGCATGATTCACATTAGAAGTATGCCCACGAAATTCCTTCAACGATTTCCCAGACTTCAAACCATGAATCCTGAGTTCAATCAATAACACAAATCAGTGAATATATTTAAATTTTATAAGACCAATGTGGAGAGCCCACCATCAAGCCAGACAATAGCAACATAAAAAATTAGAAAAAAAATAACTGGTTGAAACATCTAGGGTCAAATATAGGAGAAACCATAAAGAACAAAGAATACAATGCAGAAAATTAGCTAACAGCAGAATACCAACTAGTTAGAACTACCTAAGATATTAGCCAATTGAATCATAAAAATGTCGTAAGTCAAGCATGAGATCCAAACCTGGCATTACTGTCAAAAGATGTACTCAATATCTGACTTCCGTCTCGGGAAAAACAATTTGTAATTCCCATAGAATGAACACGTTTAAGGTGTCACAAACACTGAGTGGTTCTAATATGCCAAACCCGCAAACGGCTACAAGATCCAGCGATAGTTTATCAGCAATCCCTCCTTCCATGAACAAGCTAATTAATAAGGTGAATATAGACATATTTTCATGTTATAAATCAACATAAGAAGCTCTTTAAGAAGGCAATGTAAGCTTTCTCAGTAAAAGCATGAGAATATATTTTAGAGTTTGACATAGCCATCAGACCAAAAAAACCGCATTCCTATGATTTGAATCACAGTATGTTACTTAAAGTAAATAAGATAAAATCAATGAGAGAATCACAGTATATTACTTAAAGTAGACCATAACAGAATTTCCAGAAAACAGTCCACCAGACTACATAGATTATATCTTATTCTTATCTGTTACACCAAGTAACACAGATCACACATTACGCCCACATTCTAATAAGTAATAACTAACCTCTGAAACTATCAATGCAAGTTTCTCAATTTCACCAAGCTTCTACTATACAAAATACAGGCAATTTCAAGCAGAATCTCAATGAAAAGACTTCTAACACTTGTCAACCTTAACAACCAACAAATGCTTAATAAAGACAAATACCAGGCAATGTTGCTGGCAGCGAACTTTATCCTCACGATCATTCACCTGATGATTTGGACTAGGAGAAAAATTAGGCCTTGATGGACCTCAAAGTGTTGTATCTATGGTTGAAGAGGGCTTAGAGTTTGATCCTTCTGGTTCACTCATCTCTTCCCTTTTCATATTAGGCTGAAGCAAATCGGCATGGCTTTCATGTATGTGGGACTCAAATACAGACTTTTCCAGATAAGTCCTGAGGCAGTGAGGAGCAGCACAAATAAAGATTCCCTCCAATTATCATTTTGATTGTTTGGATCTTCTGAATTCGTTCATCACATTTGTCACAAAATAAATTGTTCAATATATAGGTATATACTGCCTTTGTCTCCATCTCAGGCCTCAGCGCCACTTTATTCCTCCTCCCTTCCCCAATGTCTCCAAATGAGCATAAATTAGCACTACCAGAAGAGTATACTCCAAGAGTACATTAGAACAGATACAATAACTAAAGCAGGAACTAGATAAGACTAGAAACCATTGCCAATAAAGTGCAACGTATTATTGGCATCATAAGTTATAAGGAGTCCATTAAACTTGTGTAAACACACAGCAGTACTCATAGAAACATTACGGAATATGACAGTAGCAATGTAGCATAGCTCAAATGTAGTTGCTGAACATAATCAATAAGCAAGGGTGATTACACATAAGACATAACATGATTGATAATTCTTATAAGAAAGATCAGGTCCATTAGAATTTAAACATTGTTACTTCATATCATGAATCAACTCAACTAGCATCAAAGTATAATATTAAATTCATGAATCAAACCACAACATATGATCAAAGAAAAGTAAGATAATATATCATGTCTCTTAATTTATCATCAACCTTAAAGAAAACTTAAAAGGAGACGACCTAAGGATCAATCTTAAAAGGCATCAAGCTTAACCTAAAGAAAACTTAAAAGGACACAACCTAACAAATTGAGTCAAATTGTTGTGCTGAGCCATTAAGGTTATACTCACAATCGAATTTCAATTTGATTGAATAAGGTGAACTCCTTTTATAAGAACAGTCACATATAAAGCAAAAGGTCTAAAGCAGGACAAAGAGAATCACGGTCTGGCATTACAACTATGATAATAAGCATGTCATGTATTCATAACATCCAGCAAAGAATAATTTATAATTCCACAAAAGTTAAATCACATGTTAAATTTGTGCAATAAAAGGGAGAATCACTCATATTTCGAAAGCAACAATCTAATAAATACATCATACAAATCTCTTTACTTCAAGATTAATGGGAATAATTATACCAACAAAAAGTTCCAAAGTTTAGTACATTAATAATAGTGAAACCTTGTCATAAAAACATGACAATCTAGCATCAGACTTACCAATACTAGCACACTCAGAATCTGCCAAGGCAGTATTAACCGCACTCTACAACCAAAAATTAAACATAATTATCATATTCATCACATAAACAACAATTCAATTTTCTTTAAATCTACTCCAGAGGAATGCAGTCATCTTAATCTCCACAAGTAGACATGATTGCCCTGCACGAATCTCAATGTATACGAAGCCCAAACGTATACTACCCTAAAATCAGTTGCCCAACCCTCACATGATTAAGATATGACAAGATTTTTATATTATAAACATAGAAGTTTGTAGCTGGGAAAACCACCAAGCGTATCATATCTTTAATATTTCTGCCATCAATATGTTTGAGATGATCTACAACAGACAGGGGTGGGCAATTTCTTTCTCATTCTTTTCCCATTGTAAGAATAACTACACATGCAGAGACACTTAGACTCTAGGATAATGCCGCAGCTTCAAACAATAATAACAAGAAGTTTGAAAACCAATTGCAAACAAAGATTTTAGCATTACATTTGATCTAAACGAACTGATAGTAAAAATCAATCAATAATTAACACTCTAAATAATTAGGCATCAATTGGAGGAAAAATCAGAGAAATAAAGGGAAAAAATTGAAAAAAATGGGTACCGAGGAAAATACCAGAAACAACGAATTCTAGAAGCAGAAATTACAGAATCACCAAATTCTTCATCTGAATATCTTGCAAATTGTAGGAAGATTCAAATTTTATAAAAAAAACCCACCTCTGAAATCACCTGAAAATTCAAAATAAAAACAGAATGAGACATTGATTGAACAAAAATCGTAGATCTGGCATAAAAAATTGAAAACTAGGTAAGAGAAGATAGAATAAGATAAGAAAAAGGGAATTTAAATCGCAAATAACCCTAAACAATGAACAACAACATCAATAGCGATCAAGGAACCACAAATCTCTTCGCAATTTCGAATATCACCGCAAAAAATCAACTGTTGATTCACCAGTATTATAACCCCCAAAATCAGAATCAATTCCGAATCAAAATTCGGCTCCTCACAACTCGTCGAAAGATCGATTGACGAAAAAAAAATTTGACAGATCTAGTATGAACAGAGAATCGAAAGTAGCAGATTATAGAGGAACATATCGGAAAATTGGCGGGATTTGAGGCCTCAAAACCAGAGCATTTAGAGAAGATGAAGAAGAACGAATGAGGAGAGAGAGGGAGAGGGAGAGGCTAAGGAAGAATCAAGCGAACATAAAAACAAATAGGAAACCTAATAAAATAAAATAAAATAATTGGATAATGGTTTTCGTCGCGGGTATTATATAGGTCAGTTACAATTATTGTGGTCAACTTTTTATTTGTACCGGGCATTATATAGGTCAGTTACTAATAGGAAATTTGATTTTAAATTAGATAATATTAGCAACGTGCAAATCCCATTATATTTGCACCTGGCATTGCATAAGCAAGTTGCTAATGTGAATCTTAACATTGAATCACTAACTATTAGCAGCGCACATTATTATGCCAGTTGCTAATGACATAGTATTTGTAACTAGAATTATTTTAGTTAGTTGCAATTAGTGTTTTAGTAACTAACATATTTAACATTAGTTGCTAATAGGGTGTTGCTAATAGCATTTTTTCCATTAGTGATAGAAGCATGCTAGGCTTTGTTTAATTAATTCCAAGGTGGTAACATGAGAGGTATTGGTTGGAATTGTTGTTGGAATTGACGTTGGTGATTGATTTGTGAAGTATGGATTATTTGTGGTGAATTGATGATTGAAATTAATTATGTTGGCATGTTGAATATGAACCACACTTTTATTATTGGCATAATTGAGAGCATTTTTAATTGAACTAAATGTTTAATTTGGTTTAGAATATAAAAAGGGAATTTTATTATGGTTCATATAATTTTTATTGATGCTTTAAGCATGAGACTTGAGCTATCAAGTGTCTTAGTATACAGGAATAAAAGGAAATGTGGTGCCTAAGTGCACTTAAGGTGTTTTAAACACCGAGGAATAGGATTTGTGGTGCTTTATGCGCTTAAGGTGTTATTTAACGCCGAGGTAGTTTAAAAAGGGTTCAACATTAAAAATTTATGTGGTCACTAATTATTCAAGAATTAAATCGGTGTGTTTGATTGCTCGAATGATTTATGATGATTGATTGTGTTATGGATTGAGAGTTATCACCAAGTTTAAAAATATGATTTATCGCTGTAATTGTTGTTTATGTTTTAGTTTGTTAAATTTGATCGGTTGGATTGACTTGTGTTTACTTGGATGGATAATTCTACGCACCAATATTCTTGGAACGTATATACCTTGAGTATGAACATGTTGGGGGAGTTATGGGGTTTTACATTTAACCATAGCTTCTACTGGGAGTACAGGACGCTGTATTTTCTTTTATTTATTTTATGCGCAAGGATGTCCAGTCACTTTCATGTGGCTTTTGCCTACCCGGTGTAGTTTACCTCAATTTATTTGGGGCAGGGATTTGGTGGGAAACCCGTTCGATGCGTAATTGTAGGCGTCATTCGAAGCGCGCCTACATTAAGTATGTTGTGAATATGCTTGACACTCATAAGAAGTGAGAATTGACATACGAATAGAGACATAGCAAAATAGGGAGCCACCGACAAGTTTTTAAGGAACTTGTAGACTGTTCAAGGATCATTTAAGGCAACCACGATTAAGGGACAACGAAGGCAACAATGCTTGACCCGTGAAAGTTACACCCCATTCATAATCCATTAGATTACTTACTACATATGGTTTAGAACCACAAAAGGAGGATCGGGGATGATAGTACAAAGTGAGTCATGGAGTCATATTCGCTCGTATTGGCCTCTACTCGATTCTTATAGTGAAAAAAATTTCTTGCGATATCAAAGGCACACAATACAGAGATTCAATTTGCTCCAAACTAAGTTAGGCTAAATTGGTTGAATGTTAATGCAACATATAATTCTAAAATATTGCAATCACTTGATTAAACAACAAGATTAAAAAGGAACCTAAATCGGTTGTCCAAATTATATTGTTAAGCGTTATATTCAATTACATATTCCCTTTAACATGCAATATGGTGATCATTACAACAATAAAATAATAAACAATAATATTGGAAGCAATTTAACCATAATAACGTTAGTCAAATCAAATCATAATAACCCTAATCATGATACTAGCAATATAAAATAAAATAAATAATTTAATTAATTAATTACTTACGTTTCGTGCGCTCCTTTAAATTGCTATATCATGAATAAATTGTTAGTAACTTCAATAAAAAGAAATAATAATGGAAATTAAATTAAATAAAAGTAGAGTTGATTTGGGGACAAATCCTCAAACAATTCTACCTTTCACGTCTTGGTTTAAGTTTAGAACCTCGGGTAAAGTACGGACTCCGGGGAGTGCTTAGGGGATGTATTAGTAAAGAATAGGGAACGCTAGTGTTTAGGCTAGAGCATAAGAGAGATAGAGATAATGATTTTTGGTGTATAAGAGAGGAAGAGAGAATTATTTGGTGCCCCAAAACTGAGAAATCAGCCTCGTATTTATAGAGAAAATATGAGGGGTGAAGCACAGAACCCTAGAATTGAAGCGCCGCGAAGAAATTAAACTTAAAAATTTCCGTGTCACGGCGCAAATTGCCATGACACGGTACAGTTTGCCGTGACGCGGCATTTTTGCCGCAACACGACAAATCAGTTTTCCTGAATTCAGTCTACATTCATTTTATTTTTTTTCTTAGGCATTAAGTACGTGATAATTAGGCGCTGTTTCAACTATTCCGAACTTATTTCAAGTTAAAGATTTTATTATTTTCTAATCGGGCTTAATTAATAAATAAAACAAAATGAATTAAAAAGGGTTTGGGCTAAAATGTGAGTTTGACTAAATGCTTTGACTGATTTGTAGATTGAATATGTGTGACTGAATATGGGTTTTAAGCACTTCCGAGTTTAAATACTCAACCCGACCAATAATTGCGGTGAAAGGTTATTCATCATCGGGTTTGATTTTGGGGAGACATTTTTTAGGTGTCTATAGTAATCAAATTAAATAAGCAATTTATTTAGCTATTTATTGGTTGATTGTGTTGTATGCTTGTAAACAAGTGTAACAAGATAAGTTGTATGCTGATAGGATAAAAGCATGTTAGTGTGTACTATTTACCTTTATGTACTCAGCTTTGCTGATTGTGTGTTTGTATGTTTGTTTGGCCTTGTCTTTATCTTGGCCCTACGACGACCCATTTCTAATGGCGAGTAGTGGGGACAAAGTAAAGAGAGGTTTTTCAGGTGATGAAGCATATTCATGATGGGCATGAGTGAACAGCGACACCTGTTTAGTATCCATAAGAATATGATGTGTTTATTCGCTTTGATTAGTATATATTTGCTTGTGAGTCTAACACAAAGGTTTTAACATTCGTTTTGGTTTTTGATAAGGGCCTACAATGGTTCCAAGTTGTAGTTTGACTTTGTTTGACTTTGGTTTGACTTTACTTTTGTTCGGTTTGACTTTTTAAGTTAACTTGTTTTGAATGGTTTTAAAGTGAGTCTTCCGCTATGTGTCTTTGATAATTGTCTTAGCCGTTTTCACAGTAGCGGTAATGTCTTAGAATTTCTTATTTCGTATTTTAAAAGAGCAAAACAAGTATTTTAAAGGAAATGAATTTCTAGGGTGTTACAGAAGAGGCGGAGAGTGCCACATGGTGTATGGACTTGATTCAGAAAGCTTTCTAATATACTCCATATAATATGGATTACTCTAAGGCATTGTTCAATTCATCTAATTATTATTAAAATAGTTATTCTCATCGAAGAGAACAACGCTTAAATTTAATATACTAACACTCTTTTTTAACTCTTTAAGAGGCTTAAAAGTTAAAACCCAAACATAGTGGAAACCAAATAAGGTAAGCATAGACAAGTTATGCACTTTATCTTTGTTGGCAATTGACACTTATGTTTGAAAAGAAGAAAAATAAACATATTTAGCAAACATGACACAAACCACCCAAGAAATAATCAATAAACATTGACAAATGAATAATTTGATGATTGTTACTCCCTCTATCCCATAATATAATTCCTGTTTTCCTATTTTGGAGATCCAAAATGTTATTCCTGTTTCTATTTTAGATAGTATATAAAGACTATTATACCCTCATTTTTTTTAATTTTATTCATTGTACTTCCTAAATTATCCTTGAATTTTCCACTTGCCTTTTACTTTTCTCCACCTTTTCTCTCTAACTTTTGTCTTGAATTGTACTTTTCACCCTTTTTATGTACTTCATTCACTTTCTTCTTTCTAACTTTTGTCTATAATTGTACCTTTCATCTTTTCTTTTATGTACTTCATCTACTTTTACCTCCTATTTTTTAAATATTGTGAAAAAACACAAACATAAAATATGTATTAGGACAGAGGGAATACATGAAACAAAATTGCCGCGTGGAAGAAGCGGAGTGAATGACCTAGCTTTGATACTCCGTGAGCTTAAAACACCGCGTTTTATTTATTTCTGTAATTATAAAAAAATGGATATTTAGAAAGAAATAAAAATAAGAAAATGAAAAGAAAAAAATGAACTAAAGTAGACTAGTCTTCCCTTTCCTCTTCCACTATTCATCCTCTCCATATTTTTCATTTCTTCCATTTTCTCTCTCCTCTCCTCTTTCTCTCTCTAGGGTTTCTATCCTTCAATCCATTTGTTTTCATCTTTTAATCTATCGATCTATTTCTGAATTTCAATTGAAGTTGCTCAATCGATTATCTTGCCCTAATTTTATCATTAATTTAAGTTGATGGAGGTAAATTTTTTAATTTGATTCATTTTTTGTATTAATTCCGAATTTTAGGGTTTATTGAGGTTTATATTAGGTTGAATTAGCTGGTTTGTGCTGTAATTGTTGTTTATGTTTTAGTTTGTTAAATTCGATCGGTTGGATTGACTTGTGTTTACTTGGATGGATAATTCGAGTTGACTCTGAGGTTATCTTAGTTGTTTATACGTGGATGTTGCGATTTAGAATCGTTGGAGAAATAATTGGATGTTTTTGTGGATTTTTTTTTGTGATTATCTGAAATTTGAGGGTTTTTTGGGGTTTTGATAGGCTCCAATGGAGGAGAACAAGAAATTGGAGGAGGCGAAATTAACGTCGGCTGCCGCGTTCGTAGAAGGTGGCATTCAAGAAGCTTGTGATGATGCTTGTAGTATTTGTCTTGAGGAGTTATGTGATAG